CCAACCACCAGCCGCGGAAGGAAGCCGCGGGGGCTCTGCAGCCGGCCCGGCGTTCTGGCTGACAACACGTAGAGCACAAGAACCATCTGGTCGACCCACAGGCCCGACGAGAAAATAGTCAACAGTTCATTGTTCATTCAAGCTCCTGAGTTTCAGGTGAGTTGTTAGGCAGCAGTAGATAAAAATTCATAACCAACGGGCAGACCCACACAGGAGCCAGGCAGGTATTTAAAACCGATAATATTGCTCGGAGGACAATATTGGCTCGTTAATGCTCTGCTCTCGAACGAGACAGTGCCAACAGCTCTGCACCCTCAGGCCTTCTCCCTCCTGCCCCCCCACACCCCTTCCTGGGCAGGTGGGGAGGCCCTTTCCTGGGAGGCAGAGCAGACAAACCACGCTCTCTGCAGGTGTGCCGGCTCCCCAGGAGAAGCGGGGGGCCGAGCTGAGTGTCTGCTCCCAACCTCACCAACCAGACACTCAGTCCTCCTGTCGGAAAGAGGGAGCTAGACCAGGAGAGATGGGTGGGCGGGTGTCCCTCCACGTGGAAATGTGGAGAACGAAGAGAAAGAGTGTCCCCACAGTGACAAGGAATCGGGAGTGGAGGTATGTTTGTGCTACTTATTTTTATTTTTTTAAAAATATATTTTCATTGATTTCAGAGAGGAAGGGAGAGGGAGAGAGAGATAGAAACATCAATGATGAGAGAGAATCATGGATCTGCCACCTCCTGCACCCCCCACACTGGGGATGGAGCCTGCAACCCGGGCATGTGCCCTGACCGGGAATCGAACCGTGACCTCCTGGGTCATAGGTCGACGCTCAACCACTGAGCCGCACCGGCCGGGCTGTTTGTGCAGTTAGACAGGCTGGGCAGGGAAGGCGGCTGAGGAGCTGACAGCTAAGCAGGGATGGGAGTGGAGCTGGAGCCGTGGAGACATCTAGGGAAGACCTTCTGGGCAGAGCGCGTGTGCATGTGTTTGCAGAAAAGCAAGGATGTGCGTGCTCAGAGCTGGGTGAGCAAGGCGAGGAGTCGCGGACGAAGGAGGGCAGTGGCCCGAGCCTGGGAGCCTCCTGGGCCTGGAAGGACGTGGGCCTTGGTTTTACATGTGGTGGGACGTCATGAGGAGGTCGTCACGGGCCTTGGCAAGCAGACTCTCGAGCCACAGGGCTGCCAGGGCTTCAGAGCCCTGTGGTCAGGTTTCCTGTCTGTGGTGAGCGCGCTGGAGCTGGGGGAGGGGCTGGAGGGCCCGTGCGCGTGGGTGAGGCGCGGAACTGGTGTGAGATCCCTGAGCTCAGCTGTGTGTGCTGCAATCCGTCTAGCACCTGGCTGGCTAGACGCCGTCACCACAAGATGCTAAACCCACAGAAGCCGGCCGCCGGTGGGAGCTCGGGTCTGAGCCAGCGGACTTGCAGGCAACAGGCTTCGCTCAGGGGCCTGGGGTCGGCAGGGGGTCCTACGGGCCCTGGCCAGGGTGCGAGGGAGGGCTTGGCGACGAAGGTGGGCGCTGATTATCTTTCCAGAAGAGGAAGGGAAGGAAGATAAAGTCTCCCTGATGAAGGTGGAAGGCTGTCACCAGCACAGGGGACAGCAGTCACGCTCCAAGGGGCGGTTAGAAGATGCAGAGACCATGGCAGGACGGGGATCCCGGGGATCGGATGGCATGGCGGTGGCATTGGAGTGCACCGTATAAACACGCCTATCTATTCTGTGTATTGCTCCCCCAAACACCCCTGCCCACTTAGCCCTAAACAAGGAGCCCTAAACACAGCAGGGGGTGCTCTGAAGGTACTGATTCTATGCAAACGCTCACTTAGCCCCACAAGCAACCACAGGAACTAGGCACCACGCCCATTTTACAGGTGAGGAAACTGAGACCTAGGGAGGTTAAGTAACTTGTCTGAAGTCCCCTCCACGGGGAAGGATGGAGCCAGGGCTTGCACGGCAGGCTGAAGACCAGAGGGTGAACTTGAACTCTCCCATAGCCAAACGTGTACCAGGCTAGTCCAGCATGAAACTCAAGGTCTCTGTGCCTTCAATTGAACTCAGTTTTAAATCCTACTCCAGAAATCTCTATATATACACACCCCTCAGAGACCCGGCCTCCCCCTCCCCGCCCCCCCTAACCAGCAACCCCTGAGGCAGCAGAAGACAATAGCCCGGGCCTGGCTAATGGTCACATGGTCCGACCTCTGCAGGCTTAAGAGAACATCAAAAAATATACGAGAGGAAGGGAGAGGGAGAGAGGGAGAGAGGGAGAGGGAGAGATAGAAACATCAACAATGAGAGAGAATCATGGATCGGCTGCCTCCTGCAGATCCCCTACCGGGGATCCATTGAGGCAGCAGAAGACAATAGCCCGGGCCTGGCTAATGGTCACATGGTCCGACCTCTGCAGGCTTAAGAGAACATCAAAAAATATACGAGAGGAAGGGAGAGGGAGAGAGGGAGAGAGGGAGAGGGAGAGATAGAAACATCAACAATGAGAGAGAATCATGGATCGGCTGACTCCTGTAGATCCCCTACTGGGGATCCATCCTGCAACCTGGGCCTGTGCCCTGATGGGGAATCCAACTGTGACCTCCTGATTCATAGGTCAATGCTCAACCACTGAGCCACACCGGCTGGGGCTAAAGAGAACATTTTGATGTAAATTATGTTCCAGCTCCTGAGCCCTAAGCTGGAATGAGAACATTTTGATGTAAATTACGTTCCAGCTCCTGAGCCCTAAGCTGGAATGACACCCTCTGGCTACTTTCCTGAGAGACAGGACAGACAGATGCCGGAACAGACCTCAGACTTGAAGAAACAGTTCCTTACCCTCCTCTCCCCTCCAAGCAGTGAGCTCCCAGCACCTCCCCACCCCGAACCCGGTGCCCTGTTGAGCTAGGGGGAGGGACGGAGGCATGGAAAGGTTACCAATTGTATTAGGGTCCGGAATCGTGACAGAGAAAAATTGCTAGATTGTCTCAGAAAACAATGTATTATGATTCAACCCAGCCAGGTGTGACTCCGTTTACCTCCCCTTTGTTCTTGTGAACTTTTTTTTTGTAAACTTCTAAGGAACAGCTAATGAAATGCTTTGTAGTTTTTTTTTTAAAAACACTGTGTAGTCTTTGCAATAAAAGATTTTGCTGTACCCTCAGTCGGCACTGCAGGCTGCGAAGCCCCTTACTGAAGGGATGCACTGTAGTCAGCTGGCCAGCTTAATAAAGGCTCTTAAATTTAAATTCTGAGTCGGTGGTCTATCTCGCTGAGTGAACCCATAACATTGTGACTGCCCCTCTATGATCGGTAACCAGATGCCCTCAGGGAGTCGGGTTTCTCAGAGCATACGCCCTCCACCTCCACGTGGGCCCATTGCACATTAAACTGGTTTTAAAATGTCCG